GGTTTCTTGAACATGACAATGAGTTCACTGTACTCAAATGGCCTCCACAATCACCAGATCTCAATCCAATAGAGCAGGGGTGTCAAACTCCAGTCCTCGAGGGCCGCTATCCTGCATGTTTTAGAGGTTTTCCAGCTCCAACACACCTGATTCAGTGATTGAATTAACTCTTCAAATTGGGCAGAAGCCTGTTAATTACCCAGCGATCAAAATCTGGTGTGTTGGAGCAAGAAAACCTCTAAAACATGCAGGATAGTGGCCCTCGAGGACTGGAGTTTGACACCCCTGCTCTAGAGCCAGCATTAACATACCTGTAATAAACTCGTGTTAATGCTGCCAATCGTTTCAGGGAAATATTTCACTTTGGAAGTCAAAACTTCATACAAAATTTGAAACAAGACTATAGGGCTCAAGTTTTGACTATTACTAAACCAATTTCAAACTACTAAACAAATTTATGTAATTTTAATAGTTAATGATAACTTGGCTGCATTTAATTCCTTGCATGCAACCATTGACAACTTCACAGCAGTAAAGGTAAAACAATGCTACCTCTACTGGCCCTTCTAGATCAATATTTTTTATTCAATTTGTCATCAATGCCTGTTTAGTGTCTCAAAATGTTGGTGCAGAAAACAAGTACTGAATGTGAATATAATATCTACATCTTAATGTAAAACAAATTGAAAGCCAATGTATCTTTTAAAGCTGCCCCAAAGGATTGTGAAGACGTCCAACTTTGTGCATGAATGTCCACCACGTTTCTCATTTCAGTCCATCTTAAAATCGAGTGTTTTTCTAGTTCATCATTTCAGCAGTGTAACACGTAGTACAGAAACAGCACTTGTCAGGGTGTGCAATGACTTGCCTTTAACTGTTGATTCTGGTGCTTCTTGAGCTCACCGCTACTTTCGACATGGTGAATCATGGAGTTTTACTATCACGTCTGGAACAGTTTGTTGGCATGAAAGGCACAGCTCTTAAATGGTGTGAGTCCTACTTGTCGGACAGGAAATTTTCTATTGAAATTGCGGAGTTTCTGTCCTCAGAGGCCCCTCTCGGATGCACGGTTCCTCAAGGCTCAGTTTGTAGGCAGGATATTTTAAAACGTAATTGATGAAACACGATGAACACGACATGATTTAAAGGATTGAAGGAAATTTTGTAATTGATCAACTGAATGTTGGATGCAGTTTTGTATTTATACTTTCTGATCATTCCAGCCATAAGATCAAAACAAAGAGTTGGTGTGTGTCTCATCCTGTGTTCTTTCTGTCTGTATAAACTAAAATGAGTTACGTTCTGACATCTGACAGGGGTGTAACCAGCAAGAGACTGAAGAGATTATAAGGTTGAGTCATTATGATGTGGGTAGAAGTGTTTTCAGAAGTTGTTAGTGTTTTGCAGAATCTCTGCTTAGACCCAGCTTGGACAGACTGAGCTGCTTTGGGTTTTCAGTTCTATTTCATGTAAGCTCCGTCCTCTAAGGCTATCACAGATGGGTACCCGCGCTTGCGCATTCTGAAGAGCCAATAGTCTACGCCCACGTCATGTGGGCCCCACCTCGGTCTGTATAAAAGGGGAGGACGGACCTGAGTTCAGCTCCCCTTTTTTCTTCAGCTTTCGTGACCAGTAGCTACGCAGTTCGAACTTCAGCAGGATGCCTGGTCAAGCGAAGATTTGCCCCGTCTGCAATACTGGATACATGCTATCCACCGACCTGCACATCTCGTGCGAGGGATGCCTCGGCGCTGACCACGCCAACCAGGCTCTGACGGCCGAGCCGGCATGCCGGGTATGCAAAAAACTGTCGGTGGAGGAGAGGCAGCGGCGGGCTGATCTCTTCGCTGAACCGGATGAAGTGTTCGAGCTGTCCGACCACGTCCCGCTCGAACAACTCGTCAACTTTGGACCGGAGTCGGACGACCCCGCGTAAGAGGCCAAAGGCGACAGTGGCGGTCCGGTCCACCCCTCCCAGATGGCAGGGCTGGACTCGGACTTTCCAGGTGAAGAAGGACCCAGGGACCTGGGTCTTCCTCGCTCTTCCTCCACGCCATTACCAGCCATTGGGGCTCTTGTGAGTGCCCTCCCCGACATCATCCGGCGGGCAGCAGATGCCAGAGGACTGACGGTTCCCGAGGTTCTGGCTCCCCCGCCGGACGATGAGAATAAAGTTTTGAGAAGAAATCCAGTGGGTCCTGCTTTTATTCAGACATGGCATTTTTGAACAGCACTTTATTTTCTACAGGACTTACCTTCTTTAATTTACAGTTTGTTCAACCACAGAAAGCTTAGACTGAACAGAGAAAAACATTCTGTTTTATCAGCTGAACTTCAGCTTTGTTTACTCTCTTTCACAACCTCTATTTTTTCCTGCATTTACTCTGTGGAACGATTAAAAGCTGACCAATCATGGCATCTCTGAGATGCTAGAGAATACACAGAAAAAACAGAAAATATACAAGCGTTTATTTTATCTTTTATTCTGTCCTGATGCATCTCAGTAATCCAGGTAAAAAATCAAAAAGAAAAAATAAATAGGTCCTCTGGATGGGTTCTTCTTTAATGAAACATT